AGTTTTGTGAAAATGTATGTCCTGCAAATTCAGTCAATATTCATTTAATATCAGCAATGGCTCCTTCTGTAATGTGCATCATCAGGCCCCACATCAGCTAGTAAGTGTTTCCAAGTTTACCTTTGTGTCTCCAGGCAGTTTTCTACTGAAAATGGCCAACTTAAGAAGCACCCCTGGAAGCCAGGCACTTCCTGCCTGCAGGCGGGAGGCAGCTCACTCCGACCCTGCCTGAATGCCTGTCTCCAGGAGGCACTGGTGTAGACCTCTCTCATTCCACTTAGCACCAAACCTTTGCTCCTCCATATCTAAGCTGTGCTACTATCCAGTGCCACCAGGCAGTTTCTGGCCCCTCACTAGAACCCACATGGAAGCTGCTGGCATCTCCACCTCTGGAGGTGGCTCAGAGACAGGTGTGGGAGTGGCATCTTCTCTCATTATGACCCTGACAAGCACAGCAGGGTTTCTAGCTGATCCAGGACACATGTTCCCAGAGAAAATCTGTGAGAAGGGAGGTCATGGCCAGCTCTGCTGACTTCAGGCCCTACTGGCTCCAGGCCCTGTCCCGTTTCCCTAAGTAGCTGCAGCACCTGACCCCTTGTCACCTGTGTCCCCTCCCTGGGCTCTAGGACCAATTCCGATCTGAGATAGAAGCTCTAGGTCTAACCCCCAGTTCCCTTCTGCTAAAAGTCTGACCTAGACTTTGTATTCCAATCAGATAAGAAGAATTTTACCCATTTTTCCTGTGCTCTATTGCTTGTCTCCAAATGTTGGTGACCTTATCTTTTGCTCCTGGAGCCTGAGCGGCTGCCTTAGCAATGCACAGAGTTGAGGCCTTTTCTTTGTTCTCTCCAATGCCCCTCCTCTCTCCAGCCTCTCCTCTGTTCCCCTTAAGCCCACTCTGCAAGGGCTGGATTCCTCCTGTCGGTGACTTTGGCCCAGTGTCTGGGGTCCTGCTACCTAATAACAGCTCCTTTTGAGGTTGACTGTCCACCTAGGTTTCTCAATAAGGTCTCTCCCTAGATGTCCCTATGAGGGCAGTTCCCCTATCAATTGGGAAAACTTCCTAATTCAGGTGGGAGTCTCTGACACCAAGGGCTTACCTCCTGCCCCTCCTTCTGAGGCAGGCCTGGGTGCTTCCGTCTGCTATGCTGGAGTCTCAAGTCCTGGTGGGTCTCATCCCATTCAAGTTAACTGAGAGCGTAACAGTTCAATCTCAGGTCTGCCCAGGCAGCCCTATTTCACCCAGTTAACATAAAACAAAACAAATCAAAACTGAGCTATACTTGGAGCACTATTCAATCAAAATATTATTTATAACAATAATTCTTGGCAAAAACACATCAGAACCACCAAACAACAAATAAACACTTTCAGATCCATCCTATTCTATTCCCATTGCCCCTGATTCATTCATCTCTCGGGTGGATGTTGTAGCAGACTCTTAGCTACATCTCTGTTTCTTCTGTCAGCGGTCTCACCCATTTCTAATGTGTCCCTCTGGCTGATCTTGCTAACATGCAAGCTGACCCATGTCACTGTCTGGCTTAAAAATTCCTCAGTGGCTCCCCATGACTTTCAGGCTCTAACCATGCTATACTTGGGTTCCTGCTCATCACCCCTCGCCTACCCCGCTCACCTGATGCCCTCTAACCATGGTGGGCCACTTGCCCTTTGCTGAATGAGCAATATGCTCAAGGCATTCTGTCTTTGCACCAACTCTGCTCCCTTGTTTGGCATGGGGATCGGGCCCATCCATCCTGGAGGCTCAGTTTCCACGCCAGTCCTCTTCTCCAGGATCTCTCACCCTGCTGCTCCGTGGGCAAATCTGGGTTAGGTTGCCTGCCCTTGCTCCAGATCTCCACAGCATTCCAGCTTCCTCCAGCATAGCCCTTAGGCTGCATTTTTCTTCTCTCTTTACATGCCTTTCTCTGTGTCTTTGTAGCTCCAGAGCCCAGACCAATGCTTAATAGATGGCTGTCCCCACATGTTCCTCACTGAAGCTCCCTCCCTCTCCAGCAGAAAGCCTCCTTCTCAGGTGGGCTCTCAGGTACCACCTGCCATGTGATGCCATACATCTCAGACCCTGAAGCTCAGCAAAAGACCTGCTCAGAAGCTGAGAATGGACAGTTTTGGACTTTCTTAGAGCTAAATCTGATATGTCTAATCTGATATGTCTGATTTAGATATGTCTAAAGAAAGTAGACATATCTAATCATCTACTTTCTTTAGACATATCTAAATCAGATTATTTTCATAGAAAGTCTTAATTCATCAGCCAAAATATAATAATGTATTTTGAACCAGGAAATTACCCATAGAAAAGTGACTAAAATCTAATGTGCTGACACAAACAAAATTAATCACTTCCATGTGTATATATCTGTTCTTAGTTGACCCAGCACATATAGTGTTTATACTTGCCTGGGATATCCACTAGAACTTACCCTAAGTAATATACAATGCATAGAAAGTGCATTTAGAGTTATGGGATATATGAGAGACAGAAAATAAGCTTGGACACAAACTGGTATCAGAGGACAGACTGTTCTGGAATCACCCCTCTGCTGAGGATTACTACCTTTCACAGGGCAGAGGGTGTGGCAGTACTGTTCCTCTGCCTAGAGGTTCAAGAGCCTTCTTTGTCATTAGAACTAATTAATTTCTGTTAGTAAAGTGGAAAAGTCTATGTTCCAATCACTGACATGTGGAATACAGGATGGGGCAAACTTGCTTGTTTGGAATGAATATCATTCTAGCACCTTTAATGAAACTAATCCTTGGGGGGTACTTCATTCTATATTTCTAATTTGTATTCTGAATGTAGATCTATAGCTACTTCTTTCCTACTCTCAGCCACTAGGTGAGGCATGATCAAATGGGGAAAATGTAAATGAAGCCTCATTTGATGATTCATGTCTTAGGAACTCAGTCCTCATTTAAAGCGTTTTCTCTTCCAAACTGTATTCCTCCAACATCCTAATAAGTCCTTTAAGTGGCATCACAACGCATCCTTTTCTGAGCAGCAAGATGCAAAAAATAATAGCTATCCCATTAAACTGTTGGGCAAGAACTCTGGCTGCAACAATCATTCTTGTTCTGTAACAAAACCCTTTCTCCTTCTCTAAGGATAAATTTGACCTTGGGTTAACTTTCTATCTGGGTTCCCCTAGAAAACAATGAAGGCAGAATGTTAGCTGAATTACTAGGCACAAAGCACATGGTTAAAATGATCCCTGACTTGGTAAATTGCTAAAAAATATCTAGTAGAAAGCCATAGCTCCAAGCTTTTCTGAGTGCGACGATTCTTATAACTTAATTATGACCCTTGCTGGGACCTTAGAAGCCATACTACGGAGCAGTTCTAAGAGATTCTGGCTCCTCTGGGGCATCTAAGCCAAGAAAGACTCATATCCGCCAATGTGGATCTAGTCCTTTTGCACCTGAGCTTTCACTTGAGGAGCCAGAGACTAGTCCCTGGAACTCCTGCAAACACTCCACTGAAGAGAAATGCTTGACACTGGCTGGCCAGCAAGCTGTGTTTCCTGCCCTGTATCCTTCTAAGTGAATCTGAGCCAAGTGTGGTCTGTGATAGTGAACTTGTAAGACTGCATGCTTAGGTGAAAACCCCTAGTGGATGTGGCATAACTACCACCCGTATTACGTACGGCTATTGTGTTTTCTGCAATGCATTTTCTTAAAGATGTGGGGTAGAATGTCAAGGAAAGAGTAAACTGATTCTCCCTTTAAAATAGGCAAAATTGATAAAATACTAAGAGAAAACACCTTATATTTAGGCTACTACACTAGTACTGCAACCATGCAAAAAGGATGAGTAAACATGCTTAAGGTTTGGGAGGAAATATAGAAATATTCACATCGCTGTTTTGTTAAATGAGACATGGGATTCAGGGTGATGTTCTTTTTAGAAATTATTTATTATGACATTATAATATAGTCTGTGAAATATATTAACATTTTAAAAAATAAGTGGAAGGCCCTTTGACTGCATCATACCCAGCTTAATCCAGTGCTCCTTCTCCCTAAGCTGTCCTATCATCTTAAATATCCTCTTCATTCAGCCATCAAAAATAACAAAGAGACCCGGTAGAGTGGCTCACGCTTGTAATCCCAGCACTTTGGGAGGCTGAGGCAGGTGGATCACTTCAGGACAGGAGTTTGAGACCAGCCTGGCCAACGTGACATAGCAAAACCCTGTCTCTACTAAAAATACAAAATTAGCCGGGTGTGGTGGTGCAGGCCTATAATCCCAGCTACTCAGGAGGCTGAGGCAGGAGAATTGCTTGAACCTGGGAGGTTGCAGTGAGCCAAGATCATGCCGCTGCTCTCCAGCCTGGGTGATAGAGCGAGACTCCGTCTCAAAAAAGTGGTAGAGATTAAAATGCAAAACAAAAAAGTTGTATTGGGAGGTTGGTAGTGGAGTGAGGGAGGATATCTTAGTTCTGGCTATGACGCTTTTCTAGCACTAAGATTTCTCCTTGTAGGATAAGTCTTGCTGAGATAATGTCATTAGGCAAAAGGCAGAGGCTGGCCGCAGCCTGTAGTACTTAGTATGGAGACTGGTATATTTGGTTTTAAAAATGATACCTCCAAATATAATACTTAAAGAAAAGGGAAGCTGATACCCCATTTCTATGACATATGCCTAGAATTTTGATACTTTGTTTCCTGCAAGAGTGAAATGTTCTATTTTTTTTTCATTTTCAGAATATATTCCTCTCATTAGAACCCCACATTATATGTATAACCCAAAAAGTAAAACCATGTTCTTCCACCAGTGGAATTAGACCAAGAAAGCCTGCCTTTGAACCTTTAAAAGTCTGTCTCCAATCCTTAAATCCTTAATAGCTAGTGAACACAGCAACTCCCAATTAAGAGTCCCCAAGTTTGATCTCAAAAATAACTGTCATATTTTTGTTGAAAAGTGTACCTGAGATTTGGCCCTAGAAACATTTTTAAATGTCAACAATAACAGCAAATACCTGGAAACTTGTTCACTTGACCGGAGAATATGTCATTGTCGTGAAATGAAACTCCGTGCCAGTAGATATCACAAGGCAAGCGCCGGCCAAATGGGAACTAGAAGAGAAAAAATGTGACTCACAATAAGAATAAGAAGAGCAGTGACCACACTGAGTATCTGTTACGTACAAATTCCCGGCACCCTGGTGCACTTACCATGGTTTAATCCTTCTAATACGCATATGAGGTAAGTGATATTCTTTCCCATTTTACAGATGAGGAAACAGATTCAGACAGGTTTAAAAACTTGTTCCAAGTGGTAGAGCTCTGATTACATGTGGCCGATACTACACTCCTGGCTTTGCAGGCACCATTTCACCTTAATCCTTATAACTACCCTATAAAGGATTACTCCCATTTTGCTGATTCAAAACTTGGGGCTGACAGAGGTAATTCAACATGCCCAAGGGCCACACAGAGCTGGTAAGGGGAGGAACCAGGATTTGAGTCTGGGTCTATCCAAATTCCAAGCCCATACGTCCCTTCCTCTGAAAATTACAACCCTCAACCGAGCCCAAAAGAATAAGCTTTCAGAGTCCCTCTTCCTCTCTCTCTCTCTCTCACACACACACACACACACTCTCTCTCTCTCTCTTTCTCTCTCCATGAAGGTGAGATGAATGCCAATGCCTAAAACAGTTCCTGAAACTCGTAAAGACTTCCTGAATTAATAAATGAACAAATCAGGAGTGGTCATCTGACTCAAGATGAGACAACCAGATTCTCTCTTCTAGGAATCTGGAAATCAGAGATGCCAGGCAGCCTCTGCTGGCCCTTGAACTGGCAGGGATAAAAAGCCAGGGCAGGGCAGCTGTGTTTGGCTATGTGCACAGGAGCAGAGACAGTCAGTCTGCTGAGAGACAAGAAAGGAGCAGGTGTGGGAGGGAAGGCAGAGATGAGACCACATAATCCTAGAAACACAGACTGAGTGGCCTCAGACCCGCATGAGCCTATAAGACAGCCTTGTATCCTGAGAATACCTTTTTGGTCTTCTAAAATCCTGTTTGGCACAAGCTATAGAGTTTCAATTATTTGCAGCCAGAAAATCTCTCACTGAGACAAAAGTGCCTGTTCTTTCCACTACATCCTGCTGCTTCTCAAAGTTATCAACAAGCTCTGCATTTAATGAACCTATTTTTTAAATCTGTAACTCAGATTACCTTGTTAAAGGAGAAAAGGGAGGCCATGTTAGTTCATATTCAGAATTTGCTTGTTAAAAGTGCACGCGAATAGGAATGCTAACACATTAAATAAAAATCTTTTGATTTTCCCATTCTAGGACTACAGGTAATCAGAATTTTTACCTACTTCAAGTTGGGGAGCCAAGGTCCGATGGAAGAACATAGCCTTACTAATGAAATGGTGGTGACTCAATGCTTTCCATCCATTCCACATTGAAATGAAGCCAGACTCAAGTCACTTAAATCAGTCACATTCTTTCAAAGCTGTGCACAGTGAGGCATATGTTGTACACTCTACTCATATTAACAACTTCCATCTATAATTTATAGCATTTTGCTCATTTTCTTTTTATGCAATAGGCTGTAAGTTATTAATTCAGTACTCACAAAGAGATACAACATATGTTATTTTCTTCTAGTTGTTAAGTGCTAATATAGAGAAGGAGAAAATAACCAGAATTAAGCAGGCTACCCAAGCAAAGGGTAAAGTGGCTTTGTTGCCCACAATGAGGAACTAACACCTTGTCAGCGGGCAACCCAATGACTCTTATCTCCTTTTGCATCACTCTTCAATCCTTACCACCCTCATAAACACCAAATAGATCCTCCATTTAGAGGCATCTTTAGCTCATTCAGTTTTGACAAACCACCATTTTTAAAAACGTGTCCATTCACTCAGGAATTATTATATGTTAGATTATGTGCTAGAAATATGGGGGACATAATTTTAAATAAGTCCCAGGATTTCATAATCCTACCTCTTTTTAAGCTCCTTTAAAAACTGTCCGCTTACACAGCTAACACCATACTCAATGGTAAAATACTAAAAGCTTTAAAGTTTTTCCTCCATGATCAGGAATAAGACAAAGATGCCCACTTCTATTTAACATCAACATAGTATTATAAATTCTAGCCAGAATAGGCAAGAGAAAGAAATAAAAGGTATCCACATTAGAAAACAAAAAGCAAAATTATCTGTACGTTGATGACATGATCCCATATGTAGAAAACTAATGATTCCACAGAAAAATATTAAAAGTAATAAACAAATTCAGCAAAGTTGCAGGATACAAAATCAACACATAAAAATCAACTGTGTCTTCATACATGATAACGAACAATCCAAAAAGGATATTTTTTAAGGAATTCCATTTATAATAGCATCAAAAAGAATAAAATACTTAGGAATTAACCAAAAAGGTGAAAGACTTGTACACTGAAAACTATAAAATATTTGTAAAAGAAATTAAAGAAGATATTAATACAAATAAATAGAAAGATATCCTACGCTCATAGACTGGAAGAGTTAATATTGTTAAGATGTTAGTATCACCCAAAATGATCTACAGATGCAATGCAGTCTCTATCAAAATCCCAATAACTTTTTTTCAAAATAAAAAAATCCACCCTACAATTCATATGGAATTACAAGGGACCCCAAATAGCCAAAACAATCTTG